GACCAGATGTAAATTTTAGTTTAAGGGGATGTGTTTGCCTATGTTCAGGGGTGGAGTGTGCTGAATGTGACTAATGTACTCCTATTTTGTGTTTGGCCCCTTATTGGTCAATAGTATTAATGTTTAGAATGTTATGTTGATGCCTTTTATGATATCAGAATAGATCTATTTATGTTCCATTTGTGTGTGGTTCATCCTTTTGTTGGAAATCAGATTTTTTTTAAACTATTTATTTATTATACGGCTGTGCAATTTGATATAAATTTCTTTTTTAACCTAGATTTTAGGTTGGCAAATTGTGTGTGGAGCTGGAACTGTGTTATTTATTTCTGGAGTCATTGTGAATGCCTAGGCTAACCAAGTCAGTGATAATCGGTCGCAAGCGACCGCATTCAGGTATTTATAAGTGTCGTGCCTAGATGCAAATTTCATTCTCTCAAAATTTATATGTTTGTTGTTGCAGTGTTGAATGTGTATGAAAATGTTGTTTGTGAGTGTGTGGCAGTTACAGAGTTGATTATTTTACAATAAAGGTTGATAAAAAAAACATTTATTTGATTGTTGTAAGTGTAGAATGGTTTATTAAGAATGGTATGATCTACACAGTAAATGATAGATGACCTATGAGTGAGGATTAGATATTGTCAATGTGCTTTTGGAAGTTAAAGTTTTAGTGATTGGCATCATATTTACTTCAATGATGCTGGATAAAATAGACATCCATTTTAAAATTTAGTACATGTAAGGTTATACAAAATTTGTGGCAAAGAGTATTGGTGATAAAGTGGTCATATGTGGTTTTAGTAAACTCACAACTAATGAAGGCAGATTATTAAAGATGAATGAGGTAAACAACTTACCGTTCAGGATACACATGTCACTCCTGTCATCCATGTGGCTCTGTGATTTTGGTTTTTTTCATTTGATTGATGCAGAGTTGTAACCGATCCTAAAATCAGACATAAATTTTTATAAAAATAGTGCACATAATTAAACAGCTAAATTAATGGGATGGCTTTCTCACCTTTTTTGTCGTCCAGCTTCTTTAAGTCAAGGGGAACCACCGTAGCTGCTTCTATTGCCCATCAAGTGCCGGTTAATAAAAATTAATAGTGTGTGTTAACAGATAATTAAAACATGGAGTTAATAAATATGAAACAGATTAATTGAAACATGTGCATACGTGCTTACCGTGTGCACACAAGTTGAGGAAGATGGACCTTTCTCTCTCGCTGTACATTCTTCCATGTATGTTATTCAGGTCCCAGGTCGATGTGTGTTTTGCAGTAGCAAAGTGGTAGTTTAATTGTATTAAGCTGTTGATTGGAGCCATTGCTTGGAAATAATTGAAGTGAAAAAGATAAATATGGCAGACGCATGGTGTAATTTAAAATCGAAACTGTGTTATGCTTGATATTTATTTTAAAACAATGTGTGGAGTTTGTTTCAAAAATATATAACGTCGGTGGTTGGAGTATAATAATTGTGGATGGCTGTTTTAGATAAACGAGTAAATGTGGTGGGTGGTGGGTGGGTTTTTAAGTGTGGTGATAGGTGGGTGGGTTTTTAATGTGGTGGGTGGGTTTTTAATGTGGTGGGTGGGTTTTAAAATAAGTAATTAATTTGGTGCGTGCTTCCTAGGAAAAAAATGGGGTGGGTGGTTCGAGAATAGTTAGTGTGGTGGGGTTGGTGTACTGTTCGAGAATATTATATACGCAGGTGGGCCGTTAGCATTAAATGAGGGTGTTTACTAATATGTGGTTTCAATTTTAAAAAACTGCAAGTGAGTGGGACCAGTGATTGTCTGTACTTTTACCTGTTCCAGATTCTTCTTCCAATTTTTCTCGATTAATTACTTCCTATATTCATAAACTAATAAGTGAAAATATTTGCCTGAGAGTCTCTGGATTCTTCTCAACTTTTATGGCATATATTAATTTCGTATTATGGAGTAGATGTAAAAATATACATATAACTTCATTATAATAAAATAATTTGTATTTCAATAAATTTTAAAATGGGTCTTACGAGACTACTGTTATGTAAAGATGTAATAATATAATTTTTCATACCTAATTAAAAACATTATGTGCAACCCACCCGTAAGAATTTCTGGAGGAAAAAATTCTGGAAAAAAATTATGTTTTGGAAACATAGGCTATAGTAAATATATTTTGGATACATTTAATAGAAAATTTATTCGTATGAAATAACTTCCTTTTAGAACTTTTTTACTGAACTAAGTATTGGTGGTATTGTTGATTTCTAGAAAAAAAAATTAAAAAAAAAGGATAAATGAATATATTTTCGTTATTGCACTTGGGTTCTTTCAGATCTGTACAAGTTTTATTTTTTTTTGGCCTGGGGTTGTGGGTTTTAAACATTTTTCCTCAAAAAATATTTTATTCATGGGGTCGTGCTCTTCATTAATAAAAAATCCACAGATCTAGGTCTTCACGGAGTGTATGGTATATTGGTATGTGTTTAAGGTCCGTGCTGAAGAAGATTTGTGGAAGGTCGTGGTTTGGTGGTGTATGTAAGGGATCGGGTTAGGGTTTGTGTTTGAGTATTATGTGGAACGAAATACGTTACCTGAGAACGTCGCTTTGAACGTAGCAGATCCGTCGACGTTGGTTGTCGGTGGAGTCAGTCTTGGTGGTGATTTTTGGGATCTGCTCGCCGTCTTGTTTAAGGGTAGCATTCTTGGTCGTTGCTGCATGTGGGCTGGGGCATGTCTCTGTGTGAAGATGTGGGTGCCGGAGTCCATCCTACGCTCTAACAAAGAAGTCTACGATGTCGTTTTTTTGTCGCCGGATTTGGGTTCTTACCGGAGCTGTGAATGGTTCTGCGTTGGATGTTTTCAACGACAGAGAAAGATGTCGTTGGTGAGAGATAGAGGGGCAGGGTGTCGGCGTCAATATGGGAGGGTTAGCTGGGTAAGGACTGGCTGTTAGGCTTATATATGTTGGGTTAATGGATTGGGTTTATCAATTGGGCTGGGCTGGCCGGCTGGCCCGTATGAATGGGTATTTTTTTCACTTTTGGTTAAGATTTTGACCAGGGGTGGCCAGTTCGGTTTACGGTTCGGTTTTCTACGGTTTCGTTTAGGGTTGAGTTTATTCGAGTTGGGAAAATTTGTGCTAAACTAAAACCATTTGTTTTTCGATTTGGTTTTGGTTCGGTTTTTGTTTCGTTTCGGTTTAAAGTTTGGTTTTGCCAAAGTAAAAAATGTTATGTTTAATTTAGTTTGATTTGATTCGTTTGCTTATGATTATTATTTTATTTGATCAAGTTCTATATTTTAGAATTAGAAAATCAAAGTAGTAGTTCATCTCATCTTTTTTTAATTTATTGGTTATTTAAATAAAATATAAAAGGAAATATAGATATATATAAAAATATTATGAATTAAAACTTCTGACATTTATTTTATCGCTACGAAAAATTCACTTCGTACAAAAAAAGATAGTTGATTATCATTTATTAAATGACATAAAATGTTTAAAAAAACCTAAAAGAGTAGGTGGTACAAATGTTGTAAATTTATTTTTAACTTTGCTTTTGAGCTGAAATGTTTTGCATATGACAAAATTGGATGGGTTTGTGGCAATTAATTTGTTTTTGTATATTTATGAATTAAAATATAATCATCATTGTATCTAGAATATTTTCCGAAGGTTTAAATTCGTTATTTGGAGTTTAGCTATTAACATGAGAACCACATTTTTAATTGAGCCAATATATTTAGAAATTGTTTTCTTCTAATTAATGTTATTACTTATTCGTTATTCTTATTTTCTTTAGATCAGATCAAATCATATCAGAAAAATTCAGATCAGAACTGTTCAAACATTATTTATCACTTTTATTATTATAATTATTACTAAGTAAAAAAGAAAACTTAAAAAACAATTGAATTTTTGGGGGGCTATGCCTGACCAAAAAAATAAAATACGATAAGTCAAATATTAATAATAATATAATAATAAGATAATAATAATATCAATATATAAATATTATTATTATATATATTATTATAATAATATAATTTAGGAATAATATTTATTACAATATAAGAATAGTAATAATATTTATGTTATCATTATATAATCATATATAATCATAATAATAATAATGTTATTATTATATTATTATCATTGTTATAATGATAACAATAAAAATAATAGAGAGTAATTTGCATATAGAGAGTAATAAAAACAATTAAAATACCCCAAACTTTGAAGGGGTGTGAGATAAGCACCCCAAACTTGCATATGTAATTTAAATACCCTAAACTTTATATAAAAAGTTATTTTAGCATCATGGTCATATATTATTTCTTTAAAAAATGTTAGTTTTTGGTGTTAATTTCATAAATTAAAATATTTTAGCATTCCTGAAGATACAATTAACATTCTAAACTTCTCTTATAAAATAAATAATACTATCCCCACTCTATATAATTGCATCATTTTTAATTTGCTATTTTAAATTATGCAATTAACATCATAAGTTTACATTTTTGAAAAAAATAATATATGGCCATGGTGCTAAAATAACTTTTTATATAAAGTGTGGGGTATTAAAATTACATATGAAAGTTTGGGGTGTTTATCTCACACTTCTTCAAAGTTTGGGGTATTTTAATTAATTTTCCCAATTTATTATTATAATATTATTATTGTCATAATATAATTATAATTATAATTATAATAAGTATAATTATCATTGTAATGATAATTGTTATGATAATTACAGATCATGGTATTAGTACGAATTATGATGCGTGTTTTGCTCTTACTAGATTTGGAGGTTTAGATTTTTACGATGTTTACACAATTTAAACACGATCGTATGATTAATTTTATACATTAAAATGTTTGATGTTCACTCTTAGAGGTATAAATTTTAATAAACATTTTATTTAATAGTTTTTTGTCATTGGTTGTGATTTTGCTAATTCTGTAGACGTTCATGAGGGTGAAGTAGTTCCGCGTCCTCCAAACCAGCCTCGCATTGTAGCAACGTCTTCAACTCCAAGTGTTGTTTATTGTGACGGTGGTTCAGTACAACATCAAACCACCCATGTGTTGGACTTTGGTACAGGTACCATTGTTGATGTAGAAGTCTATGTTATTTTTTAACAAACATTGCCATGTAAATTTATATTATACATCATTTACATAAAATTGTGTTATGTATTGGACCAAAAGGTTGCCATAAAAAAGCTCCCAGTGATTCCCAAATTGTTGTTTCTGTGCCTTCAACTTTTCTTGACATGGAGGATATCGCGTCCAATTGTGATAGTGATGTTGATGATGAGTACGTGGATTATGAGATCTTTCCTGCACACAACCATAATAGAGCAATCGGTACGTATTGATCCATGACAAAGAAATCGGTTACAATGTCCCCCCTACATAAATATGCACTCTTGCATTTTTGTGTTTGTTTAAATTTGTTTTTTGTTTTTGAATTGTAGAGTACTGGGACATTGGTGATGCACAATTTGTGTGTGGATTTTGTAATGCCCTTTTTTGGTTTGAGGAGCGTGTTGTTTCTGCGTCTTCTAAGAAGAATCCTAAGTATTCATTGTGTTGCTGTCAAGGAAATGTTGTCTTACCGTTTATGAAAGAACTGCCCTCATTCTTATCTGAATTGATCAACGGTTTCGATGAACGTTGCAAACATTTCATTGAAAACGTGAGGTCATACAACAGTATGTTCTCATTCACTTCGATGGGCGGAAAAGTTACACAAAATGTCAATAAAGGAAAGTCTCCTCCAATTTTTAAACTTCATGGGCAGAATTATCACCTGATCGGTAGCCTGTTGCCTCCACCTGGATCGAAGCCTAAGTTCGCCCAATTGTATATTTATGACACGGAAAATGAAGTTCGAAATAGAGTTTCAGCCGTTGGGTGAGACGATTCTCCATTTTTTCCCTTTGTTATTTTATAATTGATTTATAAGTATAATTGTGATAAATTTCCTGCAGTGATGACACTAGGACAAGGAAGTTACATGAAAGTATAGTTGTTGGGTTGACTAAGATGCTGAACGAAAATAACGTGTTGGTAAAATCCTTTCGGCTTGCTAAAGAGAAAATAGATGCGGATAATGCACCGAATGTGAGGCTGAGGCTTATTGGGAAGCGTTACGGGGATGCGAGGACATATAATTTACCGTCTGTTTCTGAGGTCGCAGCTTTGATCGTTGGAGATTTTGATGAATCTATGGGTGAGAGAGATATATTGGTTGAAACACAGTCAGGTGCACTTCAACGAATAAATGAACTAAACCCGGCCTATTTTGCGCTTCAATATCCATTATTGTTCCCTTATGGGGAGGACGGTTACCGTGAGGATACGCCGTTGTCCAGGGGCGGTAACATTGTTGGAGGTGGCAGAAAAAGAGTGAGTGTTAGGGAGTTTCTTGCGTTTCGGCTTCAAGAGCGGTGTGACAATCATTCATCAATCTTGAGGACAAAAAAGGCTTTTTCAGCAATTCATTGTTGATGGTTATACCTTGGTTGAGGCCGCGCGGTTGAGGTTTGTTAGGACCCATCAAACACAGCTTCGTTGTGCGATGTATAAGGGTTTGAGTGATGCTTTTTTACGTGAAGAAAATGATTCGCGTACACAGGGTAAGAGAATCGTGTTGCCTCCTGCCTTTACCGGAGGAGCACGTTATATGATACAAAATTATCAGGATGCAATGGCCATCTGCAGGTGGGCGGGTTATCCAGATTTATTCATAACCTTTACGTGCAATCCAAGATGGCCTAAGATAGATCGTTTTTTGCATCCAAGGAATTTGAAAGCGGAAGATCGTCTCGATATAATAAGTCGTGTTTTCAATGTTAAGTTCGGCGGTTTGATTAGAGATCTGCGCAAAAATAAAGTCTTTGGAAACGTTCGAGGAGGTATTGTCTCCAGTTCTTTCCTGCTTACTTTAGCCCAATTTCAATTTTACTTTACATCATTTGTTTATTTTGCAGTTGTTTATACAATTGAGTTTCAAAAGCGTGGATTGCCTCATGCTCATATTTTGCTGTGGTTAGCGAACGAGGATAAATTGCCCTCACCTATTGATATAGACAGGGTAATATCTGCTGAAATTCCGGATATAAAAATTGACCTGTTGTATTATGCTGCTGTGAGAGATTATGATGCATGGCCCTTGCGGTAATGTTGCAAAGTCTGCGCCTTGCATGGTTGACGGTAAATGTACCAAACACTTTCCTAAGAAATGGTGTGTGATAAGTCCATTTTTTGTACTTATTTTTCTTATCAAATTTAAGCAATTTTTGAATGAAAATAGAAAGAAAAGACACATTTTATATATTTTGGTTCAAGTTTCATGAAATCAGGTAAAAATCACATCCATAATATGTTTAGCGGGATTTCGGGTCAATTGAGCACAAAATGAGCCAATATGGGCAACAAATGATATCATACCGAAAGAAGGAAACATTATTTCAAAGTGGTCCAGAAGACAATATTGAAGAGCACAAAACAAGGAACAAGCCGGACAAATAATCTCACAGGCGGCCGAACAGGCGGCCAAAATGGAGGCCTTCGCGGCCGCCTACGGTATTTTTGGAAAGTCAACCTTTGACTTTGATCGAATTTGGAAAAGACCGTAGGCCGCCGACACTGGACAGAAGGCGGCCGCCTACGGCACAAGGGGACGAAACCAACCACCGGTCGGCCAGACAGGACGGCAGGCGGCCAGACAGGACGGCAGGCGGCCGCCTGCTGGACCGCCTGCGGCGGCCAGGATCCGCCGGGATCCGCCGGGATCCGATCTGCCAACGAAAAGACGGCAGGCGGCCATTTGTGACAGAAGGCGGCCGCCCTCTGTGGCCGCCTACGGCTGACGGAGACCGGCCACCGACGGTCTGCCGGCGACAGGACGGCAGGCGGCCAGAGGCTGCCAGAAGGCGGCCGCCTGCCCGGGCGCCTTCGGGATTTCTTCTGCTATAAAAACCAGGCTTTTTCCTCAACTCAAACACACCAATTTCAAGCCCAAATCAGATCAAAAAGGGCGTCTCCTTCCTCCTCAAAGCTCGGATTTCCACCATTGTTGCACCTTCAACTTCAATCTTTCATATCTTTCTCATTTTAGCTCCAAATTGTGAGTTCTTTATATGTATTTTCATCCTTTCAATAAGTAGAATCTGAATCTGTACTTAGTTTTTTTCTATCTATGCTTCGAAAATTTTCAGAAAATTATTCCACTATTTCGCATTTTCTTCTTAAATTAGAATAAAATAGTTGTTGACATTAAATCCATTCCAATTAATTATATAGTTGTTTACTAGCCTCAAGGTAGTTATTTATCAAAACAAAGTTAATTTTTACGAAGTAGAAGTAAATTTTAATTAATTCCGGCATTTAGTTGTTATTATTGCATAAATTAAATTAAATACTCAAAAAGGAAAAAAAAATAGTTTCTGTCCTAATTCTAGTTTAATTCACAGTAATATCACTCCCAGTAGTCAATATAAAATTTAGAACGAATTTAAAATAATTTTAGTTGCTTTTTGCATTTTCTAGTTAAATTTGGGAAAATTATCAATTAGTTGTTAAAATTGGATTTTAGGTTCAAAAATTCGTGAAAAATTCCAGAAAGTTATACTTCAGTTTCTACAAGTTTATTGTTCCAGAATATAAGTTTTGCTATCATCCATGTTTAATTCCTTGTTAATGTTGAATATATTCATTATATTGTTAGTTGTTAAAATGATCTTTATTAGCTAAATTTGTTTTGGGCATGAATTGACTAAAGGAATATGGATTGACTTGTTGACCAAAAAATTAGGGATTAAAATTAATAATGGGGACTAGTTGTTTGAAATGATGAAATAGTAATTAATAATTGTTAGCCATATTCATTAATTAAATTCTTAGAAAATTATCTCTAACTTGTCTATGAGATTAGAAAATAATTTAAGCCAACCATATTCAAGCACATTAATAAGGCCTAGAAATAGGATAATTTAATGAAAGGGATTTACATCTTGTCTATGAGAGATAAATTCAATTGCTTAAATAATGAGTTTAACTAGTTAATGAATTCGGCTATTTTTATTAATTAAAATATTGGAGAATTATTTCTACCTTGTCTATGAGGTTAGAATTTAATTCAAGCCAACCATTTTTGAACACATTAATGACACCTAGAAATAGGATAAATTAATGAAAATAGTTTCTATTCTTGTCCATGAGGAAAGAAATTATTAGTCCAATTTTAGTTTTAATTTCCCTAATTATTAGGTCCAAGAATATATCCATTTCTAATTACTCAATTCATTGCCCTTATTTGCACCAATCCATTTAAGTTTAATATTATATTTTTTCCTTTAGTCTATTTTTGAGCCATCATTAGTATTTGCACAATTTAATTTACTTTCTTTTCCAAAAAGTAGTTTAGAAAATCAATCAAAAGTTTTAATTTGGAAAGCTTCCAATAATTTGCGATAACCTGTGACTGGACTTGAAATCAAGAAGCTCCTCCGCCATTCCTCGAGAGACACGATACTCGGGGAAAAACCGAAAGGTTAGACTCCGTTTTACTACAACGCCGCGAAAGCGGTTATCAGTGTGCAGAGACAACATTGGACGACGACGGTTATCCAATGTATAGGAGGAGAAGTGATGGCCGCAGAATAACAAAGAATAAGGTAGATTTGGACAATAGGTTTGTTGTTTCCCACAGCCGTTATTTATTGATGAAATATGGAGCCCATATGAACGTAGAGTGGTGTAATCAGTCAAGGTCAATCAAATATTTGTTTAAGTACATAAATAAAGGTCGTGATCGGGTCACTGCAGGGTTTTACCAGACAGTTGATGGTGATGCAGTACAAAAGCCAGTTGATGAGATACAAATGTACTATGACTGCAGGTACATATCTTCGTGTGAGGCTGCTTGGCGCATATTTGGGTTTGAAATTCAATATAAGACCCCGCCAGTTGAACGTCTAAGCTTCCATTTACCGGAAGAACAGAGTGTAGTTTTTCGCGATGATCAGCCACTAGATTCAGTGGTTCGCGCATCTTCTGTTAAGGACAGTATGTTCACGGCATGGATGGAGGCCAATAAGAAGTACCCGGAAGCAAGACTTTTGACGTATGCAGAGTTTCCTCAAAAGTTTGTTTGAAAAAAAAAAAAGACAACGGAATGGGCTCCCAGAAAACAAGCATTTGCTATTGGTAGAGTTTACTATGTCCATCCTGTTAGCGGTGAATCTTATTACATTCGATGTCTTTTGAATCACATTCGTGGTGCAACAAGTCATCAGGATTTGAGAACCTTGAATGGTGTCATTTATGATTCTTTTCGTGATGCATGCTATGCGTTGGGCTTGCTCCACGATGATAAAGAATTCATTGATGCTTTTATTGAGGTGAGCCATTTCTCATCTGCCTATTGTTTGAGGATTCTATTTGTAATATTGTTATGGACAGAGTCAATGGCTAGGCCCGAGTACGTTTGGGGAAAATGTTGGTCTTTCATGGCTGATGACATACAATATACGCGAAGGCGAATGTTACAACATCCAGGTTGTGATTGACTAATGACCATTTATTATTTCAATATATTATATACTTACAGTGTGATTCTTTTGTA